GGAAGTCCTGACTTGCTTCAGGAAGTTACGCATACACTCTGACTCTTAGAAAAAGAAATTTAAAAGTAGTTCGTGTAAATGTAAAAAGAACATTAATGGAATAAATGGGACTTCAAATTGGCTATTGACTCATATGGCTACAGTTGCACAGGCCAGGATTTTAATTTCCTTTCTCTGACAATGTTTCAGTGCTATTCTCTGCTGATATATAATGAGGGGTGGGACACGATGACCTCCAGAAAACTTCCATTGCAAGTTACTCTACAGTTCTGTGATTACCTTGCAAGAAACAACAAAAAAAATCAATCCAAGACACAGATGTCTTGTTGTAACATGGTTACAAACACATGTAAAAGCAAGAAAAATACAAAACTGTCTTTGGCAATGTAAATATGAAAAGGCACTTTCCATCACATTCTTCAAGATAGTAAACTACTTTGTCTGGAAACCCACAGCAGATAAAGATACATGGCATCTTAAGGGAGAAATGCCTTGCAGTCTGACCAGCTGAGCCCATGAAAAAATGCATATGGTGTAAACTTTCAGGCCTGAAATTTGATGTGCTGATGTTTTCATCTGTGTGACTGACCACAAAGAGCTGCATTAGGGCTACAGCCACCAAAGGCTCTTTTCTAAATTCAAGCACACACTTGTCTTAGCATCTTGTGAGGAATTTTTTAAAGCTTTTACTTGCCAAAGCTTACAGATCTTAAACTCTTCCAAAGGGTAGTAAAAGTGCAGCAGAGCAAATTTTGTGGTCTGAATTTCCCCTGAAAGTACTTAACCACTACAGCAATTTTGTAGATGTATCATCCTTTCTCCATCACAGTTCTCCTTTTCTGTCATTCTGATGTGAGAACTGATAAAGTTTCAAACATAAAGAAGAAGTTCTCAACGATGTCTCTGCCTTTTATTTCTCCTTTCCCCCCCCCTTCCCTTTACCCCTCCCCAAGTGATGGTACTATACAGAAGGAGGATGAGAAGTTTCTCAAACTATTTTGCTCATGCTTAACCATTCTTAGGACTTTTGTAATTACGTAAAGTGAATTTGTGAACCGATTCCCTTTCCTGTTCTAACAAGTTATGCTGGACACTCTGTCTCCAGTTCTGCACCACATGGCTGAAACCACTCTCTAACATTTAAGTTAGCAAAAATACCCCCACCACTAAAATCCTACCATCCAGAGCAAGGTCCATTTATTATCAGAAAGCTGAAATAAATGTAACAGTACTTGTAAGTAGTTATAGATGAAATAATTACCAGGCAGTTGTTACTTGGTGTGCTGGTTTTTGCTAGTATTGGGCTGTGTTTTGAATTTGTGATGAAGACAGTGTTGATAATATAGAGATGTTTTTGTTATTGCTGAGCAATGCTTAGAAAGAGCCAAGACCTTTTCTGCTTTTCATACTGCCACAGTGGTGAGGAGGCTGAGGGTGCATGAGAGGGTGGGAGGAGACACAGCTGGGATAGGCAACCCAGACTGACTAAAGGGATATTCCAGACCATATGACATCATGCTCAGTGTATAAAGGGGGGAGAAGAAGGAGGAGTGGGTGGACACTTGGGGTGATGCCATTTGTCTTCTCCAGTAACCATTATGCTTGATGGCACCCTGCTCTCTTAGAGAACTGTCATGGCATTCCTTGCCAGTGGGAAGCAGTGAATGGATTCCTGTTTTGCTTTTGCTTTCCCATTAAACTGCCTTTATCTCAACCCAGGACTTTTTTCTGGCTTTTACCCTTCTGATTCTCTCCTCGATCCCACAGGTGGGGGAGTGATCAAGTGGCTGTGCAGTACTTGGTTGCTGACTGGGGTTAACCATCACACTTGGCAATTTTCGCTGCATTCTCTCAGTTGTTCCAAATGTTACTATTAAGTTACCTTTTCCATTATTCTTTCATAAAATTTTCCATTGAGATTAGTGTAGCCAAATCTCCTGCTACAAGACATGTCCTGTTCCTAAAGTAAATGTGATAATCTGCTAGCCTGAATTACAAATCAGACACAACTGGAGGTGGGTAATTTTCTATTTCATTTTGATTTGCAGTTTCTGCTGGATATGGTTGAGGCTTTAATCTTTCTTCAAGCATCTTACATGGGTCAATGGGACTGAGACCCCATAAACTTCCCTTAACTGCTTTGAAACTGAAAACAACAACTAGCTTACAAGTTAGGAAAACTGGACTTGAAAAGTTCCTCTCCCAGTCTACCTAGAACACAAAGCCTAGAAACAAGCGCCTCTAATGTGAAATAAGAGGACAATTTCTCTTTTGGACCAGGTGCTGGATTGGATACAGGGGCAGGTTGCTGCGAGCACATTGTGAGTCCAGGAACAGAGAGTCACAGCAGTTCCAGGTAAACAAGTGTCACATTGCCTGTTCAATGATACTATCAGCCCAAGCAGCTAGGTCAAAGGTTTGAAAGCAGTGAGCACACCTTTTTCTTCTTATTCCTGAAGGTAGTGGTTATTATTTAAACATAAGAGCTGTGCTTTTTTTGTCAAGAAAACTAGAGTGGCCTGCTGGTGAAACGGTGCCAGTGCACATCATTGTCTGCTTTGATATTGTATGTGGAAAGGAGATGACCTCTTAAATTACTTCAAAAATGGCAAGAAACATGAAGACCATTTCTCTAATGGCCTGTTCTTACTGATATGGTGAGACAAAGTTCATCTGAGATGTACGTTTCCCTTTACTCTGGTAAACCATGAAGTTTCAAAAGACTGATAGTCTTCACAGTCAGCTGTCTGAAAACTCTGTACCAGCATTTCAAGCTGAAATAACGGGAGGACTATCATTTCAAATGAACCAGAAAAGGAGAAATAATTCTGGGTCTAAATGGATAATCATGCAACTGAATATTTGAGCTGAAGACTGAGGACCCCAGTTCTGTCTAGAAGAATTGCAGTAGCAACACAGCGTTGATCTTATCCCACCGAATAAAGAATTATATTTGACCACATACCACAGGTCCTGTTGAAAAGACTATTCATGCCCATGTGGGCTGTGTACAGGATCATTGCTGATTCCCAGGACCATCTTCTTCTTATTATACCATGTCTAGATAAATTCAGTGGTTTCCAGTCTGAAAGGTAGAATTAGCCAGACTAGCTCTCATCGTGACTATTTGTGAGCATGTGATTGTCATATGATTTGGAAATTTGCACAGCTATATTCTGTAGGTCTCTCTATTTTCCATACTGCCGCAAACTTCTAACCAGTCTTTGTTTCACATTACTTAAACTTCTGTAGAAAGGTTCATTAAATAAATGAAAACTCTTCTTAAGGCCTGGAAGTATTCCTGAGCTCTCCTGCAATGACTAAGCCTTTCACCTTCACTTTTATTGTTTTGAAGCAGAAAATTAACTTAGGAGAAGCACAAAGAAAGTGATCCTTCCTCACCAAGACTCAGGATATTTGTGGAAAGAAATATGAAGAACTAACTATTAACTCATGGAGAAAAGCAGAAGCGCCTACAGCAGAGAAATGTCAGGCCTTTAGAGACTGCACAAAATCCAAATCCCATCTGAATGTAAAAATGAATGCTTTTACAATTCAAGTCAGTGCCCAACTTTGTCTTAAAAGGTATAGCCTTTATAACTAACATTGGTGCACAAGAAGAAACATCAACACCCTGTCTTTTAGGTCATTAATTAGTACTTCTACAGAATACTGTAAAAAATGTATTGTAATCATTAACAAAGATGAGTTGTTTCAATAAACGTAGTAAGTTTCAAATTAAGTGCTGTAACTCTCCAGGTTTGCAGTCATCACCAGCCATCGCCAACCACTTGAGGCAGCCGACTGTTGCCTTGGTTTTCCACTTCAACATGGCATGCATTAAACACAGGGCAAACCACTCATTCTGCCCTGCCTCTACATAAGTGACACAGCAGGCAAGTTCATCCTTGGAAATAACACTGGCAGCGAAGTATGGTCAAGAAACGCCACCTGCTGTCTCCTGGATCACTGTTCCAAAAAGCTGCTGGGGTGCAAGGACATGCAGAAAGATCAGCTGTGTTTTATTGGAGGAAGAACATTTGAATATGATAAGGAGTAATCCTTTTCCACAAAAGAGGTCCCAAAAGAGGCCTCAGATCCTCATCTGAGTTACTTACTACATAACATTTTAAGCAGCACTTCCTACAAAATCTCTTGTAGTGAAACCTAGAGAAAAAAATGTAGCAATTCACTTTGAAATGTAAATGTCTTGTTTTTCTCCCAGATGGTTAAGAACCCCCCCCTCTGTTACTGAATTTAGAACGTTGAATTCTCTTTTATTTCAAGGTTCATAATTGATAAAAACTTACTATAAGCTGCAATAACATAGGGCGGATCCTTTTGTCTGAGGCTGTCTCCAAAAGAACTACCTAGTAACTCAGCCCTTGGAATTAACAGCCACTCTGGCCCACCAAAACCCCTAAGTATTTGCTTACCTTTAGACAAGTTTGGTTTCCTGATCTTGGGTGCTTGGAAACCAGGAGTCAGCAACACCTAATAGCACTCAACTAAGCACAAGGCTGAAGACTTTTCAGCACAAAAGCCAGTGTGTTTAGGACCTTGATGCATTAAAATACAAATTCATAAATAATCACTCAAATCCAAGATTTCCCAAGTAACAAGTCTCTGCAACATGTATGACACAAATTTGACTTTGTTGGAAGTCAGCTGCATAAATATTAGAAATTGCTTATTTTTCCCAGCTTTTTTTTTTTTTCTTGAGGGATAATGTTACAAGTCTTCTACAACATTTCTGGAGCAACATTCAATATTCTAATTTTAATTGTCTGAATTTTCTGTGTGTTTCTCTGAACCTGGTTTTTTAACCTTTGTTGAGTCCTTGCTTTCTGCTTCTACTGAAGTATTGTTAGTTATTTAAGGGCATCTCCTTTCTTAAGACAAAGGCATGTTATTTCTTAAAAAAAATCAATTTAATATTGTTACTTGGAGTAAATAAACCTCAGGAAAACAAGTAGCCAAGAGAACAAAGAATGGAAAAATCAGGTATATTGACAGTTTTAATAGAAGTTATCATTACTTCAATTGCAGGTAGGATACAGCCTCAGGTAGAAAGCTAACCAATTCAAATTTGAATGAACAAGCAAACATGCACAGTCCCAGGATGCATCAACTTCTTGTAATTAATACAGAACTGACCTTACATATTTGCTGTGCAAGGTTAAATGTGTGTGTCATTTATAAACTTTAGCAGCAAACAGTTGTCCCGATAGTACTGGACAATATCAGACAGTTGTCCTGATAATACCAACAGAGTAAACTGAGAAGTACTTAATCCCTCTACATTTTTTGCCACTAATCCTTGCCACAATGCAAGCAGCCTTTACAAATCCCATATCAAATTTATTTGTGGAGAAAAGATTGGGAGCTTCTCAAGGGTTCATATAGTATTGGAAACATTGAAAGAATTTCCAATTGAGGGAAAAGCATTAAAAACCTCTACTCCTGAACTGTATGTGGAATACCATGCTACACAATACTACAGAAAAAGTAATAGCTGTGTTCTTAGATTAACGTATGTAGTACTTTAGTTCATGCCACCACTCATAAAAAGTGTGCATGTGATTTGCAAAAATGTGATACACACCTGTAACAGGTGAGTTCGAAAGGATGCCGAGATTGAAAACCAAGACACTGCTGAAAGCTCAACAATAAACCCAATATTGATTACAAAAGTGTCCAAGTAAATGGGAGCCTGAGAGACAGGAAAGGAGAGGAGTGAACAAAGCCCTCAGTGAAACCCCCACTCATGCAGGTCTGTTTTGTGAGGTTGTCTTACCGACCGACCCCAGGATAACCAGAATTCCCCATAGCAGAGGCTGCATCCTCGGAGGGTCAGCAGGCTCACAAAGATCACAGGCGTACCCGCAAAAGGCAATGTTGTCCTTCATGTGAAGCTTGAGAGCCCCGAGCACGAGCCACCTGCATTTTTTATCCAATTAGCCGGAGATGTCTCCCTGGGCCGGTGTGGCAGCACCGCCCAGCCAGAGGCCTTCGGTCCCTCCCCCGTTATGTGAGTGCACCCCTTCAGTGCTGAGTGAGAACTTTGGGATTCCCCTCACACTTGTGCTGTTTCACTCAAGGGGTCTTATCTGTTTGGGTCTGAGGGCTTTACTTCATCCTCTCCTCTTCAGTTTCTCCTTCAGACGTCCTCTACAGACAACCAGCCAATCACAGAACAGCAACTAAAACAGTTTGTACAAGAAACTGTCTCTCCAAGGACAAAGCTCCAGTTTGTCAGTGAACTTGGCAGGCAAAGAACAAAACTTCTGCAGGTGGCTGGGCCAAACACAGACCAAAAAATATCAACAATCCCTGATACACCACCTCAAATAATTCTGCACTTACACTTGCATGAAATTCCATCTACTGTGTAACAGTTTTTGTGCATTTCAGCATTAACAGGACATATTGTGACAGCAAAAAATTAGAGAGTTAGAACCTCAGACAGAAACGTCTGATGTGCTGTAGCCCCATCTGCTTTGAAGCTGTGTTTCTGCATGGATGCATTCTTGCTCCTTCACAGTGGCTCACCGGCTTCAACAAAGTTTGATACAGCACGCACAGATTCATTCACAGAAAGAATACTCTGAGTTCTGACATTGCTCAACTGGGGCAGAGACAAAATAAAAAGAACAGAATCCAGAGGAGAGAGAATGTAGCCCAACTTGGAGAGTATGAGTAGCAAGCTGGGCTCTAACTAGTCTAGTGCTTAGAGGACTGCCTCTATATCAATAGGTTCATCACTTCATAGGCAGAAGCAAACCAAAAGCACTCAAATGCCAACTAAGGTATAGCTGTTTCCAACTACTTCTATTCTGGATGGTGAGTGTGTACAGATTTTTGAGTGTACATGACTCACAGCTACAAACAGCTTTTTATTGCTAAAATCAAGTACATTTGATCTGGAGTCATTAAAACCATTACAGTCATTAAAGTCATTATAGTCTAAAAATATGATCATACTTGCTCTAAGAAACTTTGCAAATTGCACCAAGATCTGCTTACCTTGGGAAGCTTAATACTGGAAAATTAGAAGAGGTCATTTGCTCATTGCGGAAATTGGGAGAAGACATTTTCTTTGAACCTGGCTTCTAAGAGATGCTATCAGCTGTTCAGTTCACCACCAAATACTAAACTATTCCAACAACAGAGCTGACTGAAGCGGATTAGCAGCCCGATAGCCCAATTGTTTCTTACTTAAAAGCTTTGTAATAGTCTTCTTTGAACTAGGAATCTGGAAAAGCATGTCTTCCAGTGTGCACACGGTAATCTGTCCAGAAGCTTGTAGTTTCGTATAAATATTTCCTAATTTGACAGAAAGGTTAGGGTTTTCTTCCATCTTTTCCCTGACTGTAGCCAGCTGAGGAAGAGAAAATTACATATTGTTACAGTTCAGCAAGTGAAGATCTTGATCTCCTATCACACTGAAGACAAGTAATCACTCATCGTAAAAAACAAACACACAGCGTAAGATAGGTGGCTAAGGCAATGAATTTATGGAACACACATTATGCATCACCACACAATAGTGGAAATGCACTCGATACCTATTAGAGAGAGTTTATTACATTTAAAACTTCCTCGAAGTTGTACAGTCCTATTTTCAGTCCTAATACAGAGTAACACAATTATTTTCTATTTAAATCCAGGAAATGTAATTGCTTCCTGGAATCTACTTTTCAGATCAGCAAAATTCTAACTATTATTATACATCTCAGTAAATGTACAGTACAGAACAAATCAATAAGTCAGACTATAGGGTCTGACAAACAACAGACTCAGTGTACAGATCTGAGAAGTTCTGTATGCCATACACAGAGTATGAGTTCAAGATTTAAGTAAATCTCTCTCAAAAAAAGTTATTTATCAGTAAGTTATTTATTTTGTGGAAGGGAAGGGTTAGGATTAATGCTTAGTTTTCTTCTGCTTGTTACAAATTTCCCAAACAAAATCAAATACAACACTGATACATGCAACATTCATTGCAAAGACTTTACAAAATGAAATGCTGCTTAAAGAATTTATTTTTGACATAGCAGTAATATAGCCAATATAAATGGGCTATGCTTTGAAAGGTATAACCCCCTTCTACGTGATATTTGTTATTTTACATATCAATTACTAATTCTGTTTAATAGGTAGTAGTGAAAGGGTAGTATTTAATTATTCTTGTCTTGTTCTAGACAGTCATTCAAAACGAATTCACGGATGAGTTTCAGGAAAAGCAGCTGACAAACGGATAGAGGCTACATATGTGCTCTGAGGAAGACTTCTTGCTGATCAAGACTGTAAAAGCAGTTTTCACAGTAAAATATAGTTAAATAGCAAAAGCTACTATTTCTTATATCACACTTCCCTGTATAGCGTCACAGATCTTTGCAAAAATTACCAACCTAACAATATCACTGTGATCAGAAATTTTACTCTCATTTTCATATCAAATGAAAATAGCACAGAAGGCAAGGGGTTAAATTATTTAATGCCACTAGATGAGGCTTCATCTACATTCAGATGAAGTATGAGCTTTCAAGAGCAAGATCATGGGAAGTGAACAGCTAAGTGTTTTGTCCAACAGTACAGGAAGCCAGACAGATGCTTTGGCATTAGAAGAACCCAAACTTTAGGAGGGTGAACTTTGGCACCTGAAGTTCTGTAGGTGAACCACCATTACCACGTCTCAGACAAGCATCATGACCATCCTGTCATTACCGTGTACTTACCACCTCCTCAGAAAACTCAAGTTTTTTCACAAAGGGAGGAGTATCTACTTCCACTGCTGCCTCTAAAGTCTTTATTACTTCTTCTAGCAAACCAGATCTGAGCTGGACAAGAACCTTAAAAATAAAATAAAAATACACCACACAAGTAGCACTTAGAATGTAAATTTTTTAAAAAATATTTGAGAAAAACGTGAAGCAAAGCAGTACGAAATACATTTCCAGATGCTGTACTGATAAAAATCCATTAATCGCAAAGAAAGCAGATGGAATGATCCATTTCCTCACTGGTTTATTTTTTTTCACAGCTGGGACCTGGAAAGGAATGGTGTGCCTGAAGGCAGAGCTCCTCTGATGAGGCTGAACTAGTTGTTCTTGAATAAAGTGGTTTTTGCCATAGCTTAGAGAGGTCACTTACGTGGCACATGCAGTAGACTTTCTCTGAGGCTACAGACTGTGCAAGCAAAAAAAATTGTTGTATGCACACAAGTGGCTAAGGTCTGTAGGGCTCAAGGAGGCCTGAAGTGGGCAGAGCACAGCTAAAGAAGGCATTTAATTCGAGCTGTGGTTTTTTCAATCTTTTGTACCAAGAAAGCAAAAAGTTACAGTGTCATAATTAGAAATTGTTCATGGCTCTGTACCCACAGATGTAGAACTGGTCTCATCTATGGTAGAAAGTTATTTTAAAAAATGGGTGAGGATTGTTATCAGTTCAGAATGTAAGTCACCCAAAAGAAATTGTCTGTTGGCTCAGAAACGAGCTCAGCAACACTACTAACACACAACTGTGCTCCTAAGAAGCTGCTCTTTGTTACTTTGCACAGGGAAGTTTTTTGGCAATATAGCATACTCCTCTGCAAGATTTTAGTACAAAGCAAGTATACTTACTTTAAGATTATTGTATAGTTTGTTCTCTGTTTTCATTATCTGGGAGCAATAGAGTTTGGCTTGTGCTATATCGTTCTGGGAAGAAATTATAAATAATAAAAAAAATACAGTCAAAACATGCGTCACAAATCTTTGCAATAAAAGTTCAAGAGAAAAAAACAGTCCTTCACAACTTTTCAATAAATCACAAACCAGCATCTAAAACTCCTTCACCATGACCCACAGACACCAAACAGTGTGCAGCCTGCAAAAGAAAGACCCCATGCTGGATTTCTCATGTCATCTGGGTCTTTACTACAGTGTGTTGCACATAACCAACACCAAGCACGAGATCACCTAAAAGATGCAAGATCTACACACATGCTCATTTTGACACATGTCAGAGTACTTAAAGGAAGTGCAGCATATGTTAATGTGGATGTTTATCCTGGCCAGCCCTTTTAACCTTTTGGACATACACATTTACAGTACTGTATCTGTGTCATCAATTGATTTGTATAGACAGTTAATGTTAAACTGGCATTTACTAGACCAAGCAATGTTACTTGAGATCAAGAAACATCTTACTCACAGCAATAAGTACTGTCAAAGATCACGCAGCTTAAGGAACAGTTAAATATAATGTGGAGCATTACTCCATTTGTAAAACAAGAATTTTATCTGATTTTTACATACAGCAACACGAAGCACTTTTCATTTTGTTTCAGAGAGAGAGATTTTGTTTCTGAAACATGTTGTGGAGAAAGGCAGGCCACCTCCCAGGCAGTAGGGCTAGATACATTACAGCCTTTGAGCCTGCCTCCCAAGATAAACATTTTAAAGGGACGATTGCACAAATATTTTAAATTATAATTTAGATTCTATTTAAAGAAATCATCACCAAATAGTAGTATCTGTAGGAGTAGATCCATGGTTACATCTAACCTGTTTGCCTAACTCTTTCCTTTTCTACTAATCTTATAGACAGCCTTGTCACTAGCACAAAATACATTACACTCAAGACGTATGTTTATATTTCAGAACTTCGAGGTTCAATTTATGTGAAAGTTGTCCATAACCATACGGTTTCAGGAGACTAAAAGTTCCAATACTTGAAGTTATTACACAGATCAATTACACTTTCTCCATGTTAACTTTCTTTCACAATAAAACTATAGACCCAGGCAGAACCAAAACCAAAAGGCATTGTACCTGCTTGAGTGCAGTTGCCATGGCAAAGCAGTATGCTCGCAGAGATAATGTGTCACCTCTCAACTGTGCTTCTTCAAGCAATTTTGCAGAGATCTTGGCAGACTCCAGGTTGTCCTGCATAGAAATTTCAAAGTAAGTTGCACTTGTTATTCCTGTGATCTGACAGGACTGTAAGTGAATGCAATCACACTCGGAATGCAGAAGTCAACACACTGTATGCTCATCAAGGCAATATGTGTCTAAACCCAAACAAGCCGATTCCATGCAGCACTTATTGAGAAACACAACATCAAAATATGGTATTTAAAATGACAGAGGTCAAAAGAAGGTAAACATAACTTCCATTATTTTAAGAATTACACCTGGCCCTGTTTCGGCTTCTACAAGATATAAAACAACTGTGGCAATATCCTAAACCAACAGACACTTTCCTTTTCACTTTCCAAAAATTCCCAAAACAGGAAGGAAGATTAATTTTTATCCTTACTTTATTTTAGAATCTACATTAGGTAGACTGAAAAGTCTGAAATGTTTACTGAAAAGTCAACATTTTCTAAGCATTGAACTGCTCCGCATCATTACACTAAAGCAGTCTATGTATGTGCCAATTTGAACATTCGGCCATTTTTAGCCTCTCTTACAGAGTAAATCTTGAAAAATGTTTCCAAAGTATACATTCTAATATGACTGTTTAGACATTTGCAAGTTTTTCAACACAGAAAGCTTCTTTTATTGCTGAGACAATTTTCACGACAGTCTACAGTAAAAAGCAATGAGTTTAGCTGTGTGCTACTTCACAAACCACCAACTTTCCAAACCAATACGGCTCACACTGGAAATTATGGGTGGAACTGACAGGACCCCAAACAGAATAGTATCTGCCAAACTTAAACGCTGGCAGCACGAAGGTTTTGTAATAATTGGTACCACCAATATGGGTAAGAGTCCTCATATTTGGTGCTGATTTCTGTTCCTAGAGTTCAAAGCGTCATTCCTGCAAAATATGGTTTAAAACATGTTCTTCAAAAGTTAGAAGCATTCTGACCACCAGAAGATTATTACATACTTTGTTGTCATCCAAAGGCCTATAGCTCTTTCCGGCACTAAAAGAAGGACCATCTGTTATCTCAGAGGATAGTAGTGCCTTATAGTGATTTAAAACATCCCAGAAGTGTTTTAGAGTTGACCTGTTAAACACCTCTGAACAAAGATTAAACATCAATTCCTTTGTTTATCCCCTGGCAACAATCTGAGCTTTAAGCCTTGTACATTTTTCTGTACTGGTTTCTGTCAGGATTATTCATAAAAACCAAGAATCTAACCTGGTAAAAACTGAGCACTGCTCTTAATGAATAATGGAAATATGGTATTAGTGTCAAGTAGTGCATCTTGAAGATACTTCCTGCCAAGATTTTTTCTGACATTTCTTATCTTGCCATCATGCGCAAAAGCACATCTGAGCTTTGTGGTTTTTCCTCCTCCTCCTAACAGATGAGTCAACAGATTAAGCTTTTGAAAGAGCTTCACCTAATCTTCTTTAGTGCATAAAGGGTTACTACAGCTTATTCCCCTATTGATAGTATTTTATCTTAATGAAAAAAACCCACGAGTTTATTGTGGCTGTTAAAACAACCAGATGACAGTTTAGAATCGTTTCCCCTCTATTTTCATCAAGATTAATAATGGGTTGGATTCTCTATTGAAAACATATGTAGGGTCAGATGTAGTAGAAAACAGAAGCCTTGGGAACCTTTCTGTTGCACACGCCATGGGTCCAAGCCTTCTGACTGCAGGCATGTAAAAAAAACATATAAAGATTTTAGGGAAGAAGCTACAGCGGACCTAAAGGCAGGCCTAACTCATTAGAACTGAGAATTGCAGAAGCACTATGTAAATTACTGATGAGGTACTATTTTAGGCCTACTCCTTTTTCACATATGCACTCAGTTTCACTGAATGGCTAACTGAGAAACCTGAGGAAGTTTAGTCTAATGGTATAATTTTTTCCTCAGCTAGCATCTTTGTAAAACATAAGAAGATGGAAGAAAAGTTTCTAACTGAGTTTGAGAAGGGTCTATGTTAATATTTCAAACTGCAGAACCGACTCAAATCTGGAGAGGAAGATCAAAATAAAAAAGTTTTTGGATTTCACTTTGCTACTAAAGGAAAACTGTTCTAAGGAAACACTCAAAGAACCAATGTAGCCCAGTTTCTCATCGTGTTTACGCTCTTTTTCTTTTAGTTAAAAAGACAGGTAAGCTCAAGGGTAGCCTGTCTCTCACTAAAGGCATTCATTTCTCCACTCTTTCTTTTCTCCACTCAGTTGTCCATTTTTATCAGGCATGTAGGGAACAGCTTAACTCTGACAACTCTGTTCCTTGTCAAATTTGGGTGCAATTACAGAAATGGTTCAAGGCTACTTATAGGGGGAGGGGGAAAATGGATGCGGAAAGTCTGACAAACAGAACATATCACATATAAACCTTGTCTCTTAAGGAAACCAAACTATAAAACTGATATTGAGGCTTAAGCACACAGTATAGTCTGAAGAGTTGCAAAGTTCCCAGAGAAAGAATACTACAGGGCTGTAGCAATTTTTTTCCATAATGCTTATGTCTGCACAAACCTTTAAATATGTCTAAAATATTTCCAGGAGATAGGAAATAATGACAGGGAAAATACGGAAATTTTAAAATCCAAAAAAAAGCATTTCAAACACTTTTTCATGATGTAAATTAAAAAATACTTACCAGTTTATAGCATATTGCAAATGCAAGTAGATACGTTTCTTTGTTGAAAGGTATACCTTGTTTTTTCATTTCCACCAAAACTTCCAAAGCATCTATCAAAAATATATTAGCATTACTCACTTCACAAATTTATGGCTATACCTTTAGTTACTGAAGAAAAAACAATTCAGTATGCTATAAGCTTAGTAAGTCTATTTGAAAATAAGAATGTAAACTGAAACATGTTATTTTAAAAAGAAAATAATTCAAAAAGTTTAATGAATGGTCAGTTATAAATAGGAAACAACATGGTCATCAAAATATGGAACGATGTATTCTCTGAGAAAAAACCATGCAAATTCTAGGAAAGAAATAGAGCAAACATAATAGGATATAAAATACTTCTTCTTAGCAAGGAAGTTTTCAGTCTACAGTAGAATATGGCCTTACTCTTTTATTATTTTTATATGAATCTGATGCTAAATTCTAGATACTTCACAAAGCCGCCCTCATTCTTCCTAACTGCCCAGAAAGCTTCCACCACTTTAGGTAAACTACATATCTCCTCAATAACTCCATGCCTCAGCATAACAGCTGCATTCAGGTGCTGATCTAGTTATTTTTACAGTGGTTCAGTCTCAATTTTTAGGACAGCTGCTGGACTTTTATTTGCTAAACGTCAAGAGACCGAGTGCTGTGTGTTCAACAAATTTCAAATAAAGGGATTTACTTGAAAAGCTTACTCCATACTCAATTTAAGGTTTTCTCATGGAAAGTCTTTTAAGTTTGGTTAGATGACTCTTCCTTATCCTCACAAAGGGCCAAACTGATTTGAAGCACTGGACTTAAACACTGCAGTAGACACTCTGTGTGATGGCACTAGTAAGACAAACCAAGAGAAGACCACGGCTTTGGAAAAAGGGTATTCTTCTCTGCACTGACAGTAATGCAGAACAGCCAAAAAATTATTGAAGAACTTACCATTTCAAAACCCACATAAAATAAACTCTGAATAGAGAAAACAAAATGCTATGGGAAATTACAAAGCAAAGAGAAGTTAGCACTTTAGAGAAGAGGGTTTAGGGGACAAGTTCTCCCAGATAATAACAATTCTGGGCAACTTGAGTGGCAAGAACACCATAGGAAGTAGAAGACCAATACAGTCTTCCACTTTTATTACACACTACAGTAGAACTCATTCCCATCTACACTTATTTATGTGATGTTTGGCCATCTAAAACCATAGACAACTAGCAATATTCACTAAAAAAAAATAAATATATTTATATGCACACACAACACATATAGTGTGAAGCATCCTCCCCAAAATTAACTTGTCTTAGGAAACACAGTACTTACTTTCAAAATGGCCCTTTTTAAACAACATAGTCATCAAAATATGGAACGATGTACTCTCTGAGAAAAAACCATGCAAATTCTGGGACAGAAATAGAGCAAACACAGAAAAGGTCAGGAGAGTGAACAGTCTTACTGTGCACAGCATTTAGCAGGTCTTCCTACTGGAATAAACATCTTTACAAGTTCAAGTTTAACTCTCTGGGTTCCCTGACTGTTCGTCCCTTTGTCAAGTAACCTCTAAAATACCAGTGACTCAGTATGGTCAAAAACTCACTAAAATTAAACAGAAATTTCCCAGAGAGTCTCCCTATATCTTTTTTAATGACAGATTGTAACCTCTAAGCCACTGTAAGCAGAAGTCCCTGACAGCTTGCAGCTGGTGAGCAGTATCTTTGCAGTGAAGCACACCACCATGAATTGAAAGAATTTTTTTCTAATCACGATATCAAATGATGCACAGGTCAGCACAAGAGCTTCAGTGATGATGGTAAGAGTAGCAGAAGAAAGAGGAATTACATTTTATGTTCTACTTCAACCACACTCTGTTGGGAATAGCCAAACAAAATGTCAGATGCATTAAGTTTAAATTTCTGTAGTAGAGTCTGAAGAAGTATCTCACTATCCACCAATTACTACATCCTGCAAGTACAGCAGGACCTGTCTTAATGACACAGATCCCAATAAGAAAAAAAACAAACCAAAATAAAAACTACATACTCTTACACATCCAATTTAAGAATAATAGAAAGACTTCTCCCATTTCTTGCTGGGCATATCTCATGCCTGAATGAATTAGCATCAGAGAGATGACTTTTCACTGGCTAGCAGACATTTTTGAAGACACAACATTATTGCACACACTAAGCATGACTAATATCTTGTCTTAACAGCACATATAGAATTTTAGAGATGTTCAAAAACAAGTCCTTAAGTTTCTTCAGCACTAAAATAGCTAAGTTCCTGAGCTGTTGAATACCATGTCACCTCTACAGAGTTCAGAGGGAGTCTGAAGTACAGAGTATCATGATAAATCTGCTGGTACTAATAAAAAGGGATTTCAGAGGGCTACCACAGAAAATCTCAGAAGCATTAATTTCCAAGAATGATCTAATGCGATACAGAATGTGGGAAAACATGCATCAGCCATGTTAACTTAAGTAATTATTTTTTCATCAATATTTTTTATTCAATTTTTATTTAAATGAAGCAATCATCCAGAAATAAAGTTAGCAGTCAAACTAGCATTTAATTTCCTTTTAATTACTGTTTTGCTATTGGTAGCATACCATTTCTCATATTTGAGAATATGTTGACTGAGAATATAATGACTAATAACAACAACAACAATAGTATTTTCGAAATATATAGCCGAAGTACCTGATCTTTGATAAGTTCTACTGCAGGTCTTTCAAGGTCTAGCTCATAACATAGCCTCATAAAGAGAGGCCCAAATTTAAAATTATGTAAGGTTGTTATTCCATTCTGCTCATGGTACCTATTGGAAAGATTAAAAAAGTTAATCACACAGGGCATGGAATTTGCCAGGAAGGAACAGTTTTAAACAGAGAGCAAGATCTGTACGTGCAGTGACAAAGCCACACTTTTCTATCCACACCACCTAAGGATATATAGATAACAGGAGATTAAATTTTAAGGAAAAACAATTTGATCAAACTAATAAATTAACTAGCAATAAATAATGTCTTCTATTACCAATAGAGTAATTTGCATTGAATCAATAATAGAAAGGGTCTCTCTCTCAAAAATTCCCAGCTACTTTACCTTCTATTCATGGAATGATAGCACAGAAGCTGCAGCAGTCTATTTTAGCAGCAGTATCTCCTAAAATACCTCTACAAAAAGACAGTATTCTAAATTTTACTTTATAGCTCCTACACTGTAATTGCTGGGAAAGTTTTCACTCACAAAACCTCATGCCATTGATCTGCCACTGCTGGTTCCAAACCAGTTTATAATCAGGTGTGTCTTGGCTGGAAAAAACCCTGAAAAACACAACAGCTTCTCAGCTGTGGGATGATTTTTCTGTGTGGTTCACCACTCATTCTGCAGGAGGACATCACTTTGCTCTCACAGCTTGACCTTCCTTTGACCTGAAAGTCTTTGAAGGGTTTGATGATCCAAAGAAACTGAAAACATAGGCTTAACTAAAGGAATTAATTATGCCTATAGCCATTGAATTAGGACAAGCGCTCAATTGCAGATACAACCTGGGATGATCTAATAAAAGACAAAAAATAAAGACAGAAAAGAGCATTACCTGGATTGTAAAAAATACCTGTAAATAACTTTTCTGGCTAGTTCCACATCAGATGAAGTCTGACATAAATGCAGCAGATTTTTTAATTCATTTTTGAGAATTATTCCATTTTTCTTTAATTTTTCTTTAATACTTCTAAAATATGGATCTGAAAATAAAATATATTACAGGAGCAGTCTATAGACAATTCCATTACAGGTGTTGCATACTTGGTACCTGAAAAATTGGAGACTCAATGAATCAGAAAGCTTGTTTTTTCACCAAGAAAAATGCATAAAGCTTCTCACAGAAAAGCATGCCACCATGTCTCCATAAAGTCATGTCAAACTTGGAAAATCAAGAAGATGCTTATTGTGAACTTAATTCCATTGTGTATGTTATGGAATATACCATGTAATGCAAAAGTTTTAATGAGGAAGAAAGTTTTGTGACATTTTATGCCTTCTGTTCTTTTTTGAAGAGCAAGCAAACAAACAAAACCAATTCCACACAGCATTCAAAAAACCGTAAGACCTACTCAACACTGTTAATACAGAAGATTTAAATTTCTTCACAGCTGATGAAAACACAAAGACTCTCCTATATAATCTGTGCTTTTACATACACAACCATAAACTTAAGAGTTGCTTCCCTTATCCTGCCCCCAAAAAAGATGGTTCTTTATCCCACCCATTTAACTATGACAAAGCAAGCACAAAGACGAGTACTCCAGATGGTAATCTCAATCCTCTGACCAAAATACACAAGATTAAAATCACATGTACCACCTGACAGCCCCATTCCTCTCATGGTGCTGACCATGTCTCTTTTGTAGCCATTGCTGGGCCACTGCTGTTTCCAAGTTGTGATCTACACAAGAGGTGAAAAGTTACCGGATGCATATCTGTTGCTACATGCAATTGCAAGTCCTTACTCGAGACAGAAATAGAGAGGTTAGTCCTGAAAGTCAGAAGAATGTATACATACAAGTAGGCATACCTAATGGTTGTGATGTGTTCAAAGCTGTACAGAAATTAAAAAAAAACCTGGGATCTGAATGGTACTTACACCATTTTAGGTAACTGTATAACTGCTGTAGTTAATAGTATAACTATTCTAGTTAATGGATGGATTATAACTACAATAAATAATAGCTATTATATATTCTGTATAACAGTTGTTACTGCTTTTTCCATTTCTAAACCAAGTTTTTATTAGCCCTAATTATTTCTTTTCATCTTTCACATATTAAACACTGAGTACAAAAACTATTCAGACATACACACAAATAGGTGTTTAGCACAATGTTTTCATTAGTTTTCAGATGCTACTATTTGTATGAAACTAAAACTGTGACCTGTAAAGCCAAATTTGGCTTCTATAAACCTGCTTTAGCAAAAAATTCAATGTATCTCAAGTACAGGACGAATAAACAACAATATAAATATGTCATCATTACAGCAAAATATAATAACAATATGATTCGCAACTGCACAATTTAAATTTTACTAAATATAGAAAAAACTGCCAGGTTGACTTTACTTTCCACTCTGCCCCAAAAGACTGATTTATATAAAACTAGATTTATTTGTCTCTACCTTGTCTTAAAATTAACTACAACCTTTGGAACACTAGAACACCCACACATGATAAAATAGGAGTTTTGCCTAACCTTTCTTTAATAAGGGCAGCTTTATGTTTATGTTTAAAATGTATACAAATTCCTTTCTTTAAGAAACATAAACAGCATGACAAAATCCCTGCCAGAAAAAATCCAGATTCTGCTCCTATATTTGTTTGGAAAACCTGAATTTGTTTTTCTTATTCTGTGTAGCATATGTCATCTGGAAGTGGGTGTACAACTGAGAACCTACACTAGAAAGAAAAAAAATCTAAAAGAATATTCTAACTAAATTTCCAGACCAGATTAAAAGAGAATTACTTGTGAAGGCCTTTCTTGGGCAGTTAGGTAACCATTTGGCTTTGTGTTAACCTTCTCTGTTGATGAGGTATTTGAAGCAGTATTTGTAGACTAATTAGATTATCTGAAAAAGTTAGAAAAGAGAGGACGCAAACATTCAGGTCTTACGTGAACACCTTGTACACGTGAAAGCTTCTCCAAAGATATTCTCAACACAGCATATTAATACTGTTACATTCTATAAAGCCTCAGATCTTCCAATAATGGTAGGTACAAAAAATTTGCAGGAGGAAGATGTAAGTTGTTTCTATAATCAATTGGTGTCATAATTTTGTAACTTGGACTGTTTTGGTTCCTAAGACTCATGCTAAAATTGAGAATGGTGATTATGAAATAAATGCTATACCTTTATTGCCATGAACTTCGTTTCTAATTGCCACTTTCATCTGTTGAAATTCTTGTAACTTTATATCTTCTTCTGTTAGTAGATACCGTTTCCCTATCACAAGAACAAAAAAGAAGGCTGAGTTTTACGTTACACTGTCTGATTTATTACTACTGAACCTTGCGTGTATGAATTACTGACTTTAATTTTCTGATGCCAGATCATTGTCAGTATGACCTTAAAAAACAGACTGCAAAAACTGCAGTTGCTCATGTTACTAACAAAAGAACCCAAATACTACGTCACAGCTCTATGGAGTTTATGTGCACAAGGATGAAGAAGTTTACTTATTGAATAAGCACAAGAAAAACTAGAAGTAATACTTCTCTTCACCGAGGAAGAGGAGCATTCTGCTCAGGAATAAGATCTTTCCCCCCTTTTATACTTTTATTATGATTTTCTTGTAATTTCTTTATTCTCCACAAAGGCAGTAAGAAGACACAAAATGCTTATTTTTTTAATCTATAAAAACACCAACCATATTACTTGGAATCCACTAACGCTCAGGATACCTAGTAAAGTTCTGTTGCAGTACAGACATCAAAAGTAAGACAGTTATTGAGTCTAGAATCTCAGAATTTACTTTGCTTGCTGACCTCAACTGTACTGTGTTGCAAGCTGCTTTTATAAAAGCGTCATGCAAAAGCTATTTGACAAGTTTTTCCTGTTACAAAATCAGATGTCCAGTAGATTTTTATTCGCAACTAATGACTTTGTAACAGAGAGTCACTGTAGTAGCTTACATTGTTACACCCTAATATTTTAAGGTTTTAGCTTCTTAAAGAATTATTTGAATCATGAAGGGACAAGAGCAAGCATTGAACTGCGTTAGGTTGTTTATTCTCATTCTGCATTTCCCTAGAAAAATGTAACAGGCCATGCAAAAAACTCACTTTTTTTCTATGCAAGCAAAGCATGCTAATGACACACTTCATAAAACCTGAAGCAAAAAATCCATTAAAGGGAACATTCATACATTAAACTTAATGGAAAATGTTCCAATGGGTAAACGAACACAATTTATCTAGCATGAAATTGACCTGTATTATGCTACCATTTACTTCCCACAGACCTCAGCTGGTCTATAGCAAAAGCTCATCTCAGTCCTGGGCCTCTCCAGAGCTGGTGCAGGAATCACGCTAGGGCCTGAGTGGGACCAGCGCACTGCACATCACAGTCAATGGTCACGGAGAGTGTCAGCAGAGAGTGTGGGGCAGCAGAATTTTACCCTTCTTGAATTCAATTTGATGAATTCCACTGCTTCCTTAGATTCATGTCTTACAGTGTTACAGAAAAAAAACCTGTGCCAAACCAAGCAAAGGGACCTCCAATGAAAAAGGAGGGAGACAGATATGGTGGCTGGCATGTGCAGGTGGTGCAGGCTATCGCAGAGAACTGAACCATCCAGCCTGCTCTGCCTCACAACGCTCCACCAGGCTGGCCACTGAAGACGGGTGGGCAGAACGTCAGGCAGAACAGAGGGCTCCATGTCTCTGAGGGGTTTAACAGAGCTGTAACCTGAGCGAGGCCTGCACAGGCACAGCAGGCCAGGAGCGTGGCCAGGGCCTGGGCTGCAAAGCTCTCCAACATACACTTCTTTTCCATGTGCCCCCATTTCCTTCTCTGGGAAGGGAGTGCCTTTGGAAGGCCTCCGAAGCCCAGAGTCTGGATAACACTGCCATCCTACCAGAATAAATACACATTTATGAAACTCCACATGTGTTTAGTTCGTTGTTGCCTTTTAAATGTCACATCCTGACAGCAGCAAGTAGGAGATACGCTCAGTAACACTGACCTCCAGGGCGACCTTACTGTGGCCTTTCAGTACCTGAAGGGGGCTACAGCAAAGCTAGAGAGGGACTTTTACAAGGGCATGTAGTGCTAGGACAAGGGGGAATGGCTTTTTACTAAAAGAGAGTAGGTTTAGATTAGATATTAGGAAGAAATTCTTTACTCTGAGGGTGGTGAGGCACTGGAATAGGTTGCCCAGAGAAGCTGTGGATGTCCCATCCCGGGAAATGCTCAGGGTCAAGTTGAATGGGGTTCTGCGCAACCCGATTCCGTAGAAGGTGTCCCCACGGCAGGGGGTTGAAACTGGATGATCTCTAAGGTCTCCTCCAACTCAGGCCATTCTGGGATTCATTCTGTGATCTTGTAGGGCCGCTGCCAACCCTCCCCGCGGTGCACTGCCCACCCTCCCTGCTCGGCCTGCCCACCGGGAACACCTCGCCACACCACCACGCGCCGGGAAGGGCATCCAGACAGAAACTACAGCTCCCGTCAGGCACACGGCTGGCGGCGGCCGCCGGGCCTACTGGGTGTTGCAGTCCCGTATCCCCCACACCGTCGGACAGCCTTGCTCCCCGGCCAGGCCCCCGCCGCCCGCCCTCGCCGCGCAGCCCACGGTACCTGCGGGCGCACAGCCCCAGGCGCCCGGGGCGGGCGGGCGAACCGCCGAGCACCGCGCCGCCTCCCGCGCCGCCCGCCGGGACCCGCCCGCCAGCACCGCCGCCATCTCCGGGCCCGGCCTGCGGGGCGGGGCACTCGCAGCCTGCCCGCACCGCCCACCTCCACCGGACTCGGCACTATGGCCGCCCCCGCGCTCCGGCGCGCCGTGCTCTGCCAGGGGAGGGCCCTCGGCGCGGGCCCAGGTCGGTGCGCTGCTGGGGGGCGCGGCGGGGTGGGGGGCACTGGTGGCTGTGGGTGCCGCAGGCTGAGGTGGGAAGCGTGAGCAGGGGCGGGATGCTGCGCCGGGACTGCCCTCACCTTCCCCCGTTTCTCTCTCTCTCCGTGTATCTGTGTGAAATCGGAGGCAGCTCTGTGGACGTCTTATCGCTATTGCGCAGTATAAGAGAGTGTTCGCAGTTTGTATTTTAGCGGATGTTCCATCGCGCGGATTTCATAGCTCGGCATTTTAGGACCTGCCTCTGTGGGCCGGGGGAAGCCACGCGGAATTGTATGAGAGGCCGCCAAGCCCGCGGCACTGAGTGCCCTGCACAACCTTGTAAGGCCGGTGACAGCAGCACCACAAGGCTGATGTCTTGGAAAAGCCAGAAATCTGACCCTTGTGGAGAACTGAGCTCAGTAACGTTTGCCTAGAGCGTGGTGGTGATGGGTGACTCTGTTGAGCTTTTTCACGAGTGGAACACGCTTTCCTCAGTTCTGCTTCCTGGATGCCCAGGGTTCAACCGCGCCGCCCTTCCCTCTGGCGCTGAACCGGCTTGAGGAGCTCAACCCTAACCTCGGCTTACCCGAGCATAGAGCTGTCAGGCGGACAGTTTTGCTATGGAAAATAATTCTTTAAAGCCTCATGCTTGCTATTGGCATCCTTCGCGTGAATGAGCAAACCGTAATTTATCCTAAAGAAAACCCAACCAAAAAATCCCCAGAAACCCACACCAACGTCCCCAGGTCTTCTGTATATCTCTTTTGTCAACATATTGAAAAATAGCAGTAAAAGAAACCATACTAACCAAACAAAAATACAGTGTTATCTCTTTGGTAGAGTGATGTACGTATTCTTATATTCTGACTGTGGAATTCCACGTTCTGGGTCTTTTTGACAGAAGTTTACAAAGTTGTTCAGAAATGGACTTGTGTTTATCATTGTGTGTCAGAGGGATGAGGAAAAAAATTGTTTCACAACCAAAACTAGACTTTCAGAGACAGCTGATTTTCAGATTAAAGCTATTTCAGATTAAAGGTAGTTGCTAAGACTTCTGTGTAGCATTGTAATGTTTATTTTTTAACATTACTTTCTGCAACCTTTGACATGTATTCCTATATCTTTCTTCAACAAATTTTATCCAGCTCTTCCTCATCCATTTTCAAGGCCTCATCATCTGTGACTGATGCACAAATTCTTCCAGCTGAAGCATTTTCTGTTTTGTTTCCAAAGCTAATACAGTGTCTTGAGCAGATTTCAAAGGTGGTACAATGAATAGATTAAATCCTTGCTTAAACACTTCAATCAGCTCGATGATGCAGTGAAGCTGCCCCAGGGCCTCCCTCATGCCCTGCCAGACCTGCCTCACTTTGGCTGGTCTTTGGAAAAAACTTCCAAAAATGTTTCCATGAATCTGTAGTTCACAGGAGATAGAAAAAATGGAGAATATTAAAAGGGAAGTATTTCCAGATGAGCATCTAACTTTCCCTTCCAGTGAGACAAGTCTTTACAGGTGGAAAAAGTAATAATCCAGCAACAGCAGAAAAGCCTTTTGTGCCTAGCCATGTTTTTTGCTTATGCTTTTTAGCCTATGTTTAGCTAATTGCTAGCATTTGATGAAAAAGGTCTGTGCACAAAGAAACTGCTTTTTTATTCTTTGGATTTTTTTCTACCTTTACAAATTTGTCCTTTTCTTAAATACAGAGTTCAGGTAATAATTATAATAATTAAATAGTAATTAATAATGGTTACAATTAATCAGAATTGTTACAGTAGTAGCTGCTGAGTACTATGTTATAAAGACAGCTTAATACATCACACACAGTAAATGGGATAGTAAAAATTAATATCTAATAAAGTGTTAATTTGTTTAGAGTTGTCTAGGCAAACTGGCTTATGTAGTGTTGTCTTACTTCACTAGGTAGAAGATCTCTTCTTTCTGCGGCCTATGTGGATAGCTCAAAATGGGAAAAGAGACAAAAAGAGGAGCATAATCTGGGTGAGAAAAGTTTGTTTCTTGTCTCTACTTTGTCAAGTGAATTGCAGCCTGAACTAATTTTTGACTAGCTCATCATCTGTAAGTAAGAAAATGTGTGAGGCAATATGCTTCTAAGGTTCTATGCTGAAAGGTGTTCAACATGTTAAAAATTTGTCATATATACTCAAAGCTATAATGCAGAAACAAGTTAGAATTTGCCCATTTAATTAATGTTTGGTTTCTACAAGCTAGTTTTTTTTCTTTCACAAAATCCAAAGTTTTACGGCTGTGTCCGAGTGTTGTCTTCATTGACATTGTTTTAATTGTACAGCAACATGAAAGAAAAACTTTAAGTATTACAGGACAATCCTGTTTAAAGACATTTTTGAAAAGGAACATTTTCCTTGGAGTTTTGCAGTTTCTTGTTGAATTACAGATTTTTGGGGCGGGGAATGAAACTAAAAGTTTTATTTTCAAGAAGCTGTAAGTTAAATTGTATCTGCATACGGAACTGAGATCTCTAGTGCAGGTTTTATAGCCAAATTATTTGGCTATGTTACATTTGAAGTTACATTCCACCATCTTTTTGGTGACTATGTTAAATAGAAAGCATCTTGCAAAACATATTTCCATGCTAAAGATAGATATGCAGTATTTTGTACCATGGGTGTTTGGAGACTCCTTAATGCATAGTCTTTGTCTTCTCTTTTTGTTTCCTGGGCCCCTGAATTGTAGTTGTTTCTTATAATGCAGATTATGAAGCTGAAAGAAGAGCCAGCAGGTGAAATTCCAGGAGTTGTTTCAGGCAGGAAGCCAGACCAAATGATCAGAATGATGTTTTTTATGCCCTAATTTGTTTCTTTGTATTTGCTGTGAGCGTGTAGGTTGGGATTGCCAACAGTACTATACCTGAATCACAAACAGCTGGTGGGTCCTGTTGGCTGTAGCTTGGATCCTGTGGAGACTGTTAATACTGTGTTACCCTTTACTGTCAATAGGACTGCTCATGCAGTGTTTTTTGGGCTGGAGCCACAGATTTGTGCCCTGGAATGTATTTGAACCAGTCACCTCGAGGTGAAAATGGGCTCTTATTTTGATAAATGTCGTAGCCAATATAAATCCACTGCTGAAGAAAACATTGTTGTGCAAGTGCTGGTCCAGTCCATGTTTGGCTTTTCCCAGGCCTGGCAAGATCTTCTGTGACTGTTTGGCAGGCACAGTTCTTGCTGCTCCTCTGCTGATGATCTTGATCCAAAGCAGATGTCTGTTCCATGCTTTTCAAAGAACTGCTTTGCATTTTCATTTTGTGTTCACTAAAAAGAGAAAACAAGTTAACATGGTGTCAGCTTTATTAGCATTTTCAAAGAGGAGACAGCCCTGCAGACGTCTGCTCTGTGGCTGCCAGTTGTATGGTTGCACATATAATCTTATGTGTAGTAACTGCTGATTATAGCCAGAGTGAATTCCTTGTGCTGAGGAGATGCTCTTTTGTTTGTCCTTCAGGCATTGTTTCAGAACTGTTATTATGCAAAACTATGTTGTGAGAATACTTAAAAAGGAAAAAAAAGTATTTAAGTATTTTCTTATTTAAAGTCAATTCCATTTCTCTGCTGCAATAATGTGCCTTCTCAGACTTGAACTCATTTACTATATCCATGTAAGATATACTTTATTGTATCTCTGTAATCTCAGTTTAGCATTCCAGGCATGAATGAGTTTAGCAAACTTTGGTACTGAAAAATGTGTATTTTTGTACAAAAGTGCATTTGTTCAAGAAGATAGGAATGGAAAATATGTAAATTTGGAATTTACAAGCTGTGTGCTGGTAGGAAGATACCTGCATAGATGTAATTTGGACTCCACTTACTAAAAATGAAGTATTAAGGAAACAGAAGGCATGGCTCGTCTTAAATTTTCCATTGCTTCAGTTGGTTCATCACTAAAAAGAATGAAAGTAAGTGACAGTAAAACACCTTGATGAAAAGAAAAACAACTACCAGAGTCCCATGGGATGGCAGAATCCAGGTGAGATAGGAAATGTCTTTTTTTGTTAGATTCAGAGTACCTAAAATGGCTCATCTGCAACACCAGGTGGCAGTGCTGCCTTCAGAGGCTTTAATAGTTTCCATTCAAAGCCTTTTACAGTACAAAGCTGTTGTTCTTTCCAGAAGCTGCTAGTTACATGGAAATAGAGAGAAACGTGAAATATACAAATTGTAAGGTAAAATTTTTGCCTCAACCTTCCTTTATATTTTAATTGGATCTTTAAAATTCATCTTTCCTCATATCAAATGGTTAGCCTATGAATTAGGTCTGCCCATCATTCCCAGGACAAGTAAATTTTGCACCACATTTGTATCTTCTTTCCCTATCATTGGATCGTAGCACTGTCCTGGATAAACCATTTCTGAGAATATAGGGGTATAAACAGAATAAAAGTGACCTTATATGGTGGTCAAATGCGCCACTTACTGATAATGTACTATTTGTTGATGTGGCTATGTTCTGTGGATAGGTACACACTGTGAATCAGACTGATACTGTGGTGACTTCCTAGGCCACCAAACTGGTGTTAAAAGTCATGACCATCACCTTCCAAGTCAGTGGTTAGTATTACCTTAGTCATTGTCCTTAATCACGCTGTTGCAGGCTGCAACACACTGAGTTTCTATGAACAAATGAAAATAAAAGTGAGCATGAAGTCTCAGATACTGATCTTCTAGAAACCACATGCACAGAAGTTTAATAACCTCAGCTCATACTTATGGTTTGTTTTGTTACGTCATTTAAATCCATTAGATTCTTCAATATACAGAAATATGTTTTTAGATAAGTTTAATTTTGAAGGAGTTAGTCTTGTAGAAATGTATTTTTAGGCATTGTGTATGAGAGACTATGTACACTAGTGTCCTCTTTGGTAATTAGTCACATAAAAGCACTTGCAACGTGTATCTGTTAAAATGTACATGGAATTTTGATCTGTCTGTTAAAATGTTGATTTGGTTTATATACCATTGTTAGTTTGCAAGTTTTACTACCAACAGTGACAGAAGACTTGAGTATTCACATGCTTGCGTTCTAGTACTGCTGTGAGGTTTTTGTTTAACTAAGAACTTTTAATCGTGACTGTTGAGTAGCACCAATGGAGCAAACTTACTTTACAAAAGTTAGCTGAATTATTTCAAATTGTGAATATGGGGAAAAAAAAAAAAGTCTTGATTTTAGGTGCTCTTCGGAGAAAACAAACCAGTAAAGAATTACATACTGCAAATTATTCTTATCTGGTAACTACCACAGAAACAGCAGCCTGTCTGAAAACAAAACTAAATTTCCCATTATCTTAATTTGTCTGCTATTCTTTTAGATTTAATCAGCTTTCAATTCATTGTGACTCTTACAGTGGAGCTGATTGATAAGTGCTTCATGTTGCTGTAGTTCTGGTGGAGAGTTCCAGCTTTGTAGACAGCATTAAAGGTCAGTCATTAAAGTTCTGTGTGTGAACTCTCCCAGAGGATGCTGGTGTATAATGGCTAACAGTCTTGTGATCTGGCATTCATGCTATTGTATTCATTGGGTTTATATTCTACTTAAGTACTCAGTGTTTCCTGAAGTGGGCTGTTCATCTTCATGAGCACCTAGACAAAAGAAATACCAAACTCAGGCCTTGAGTGTGGCCCAAAATGGTTATAGGGATCACCTAGTTTTCAGAGAGTGATGCATAACAACTATAGATAAATAAAGTCCCAATGTGTGCAGTTGTCAGTCTCAGGTCCACATTGCTGTGTTCAGCAGATCAGATATTGGAGTGAATACTTCTCTCCAGCTGTCTCAAAATGGAGATGAAGAATGGTGGATGACATTTAGGCAAGGACCTAGGCAGTCTTAGTTCTGGATAAGCTGATAAGCTGGATAAGCAGCATCCCTTCTCTCTGACTTCTGTCACTACTGGGAAAGCTCCCAATGCCTTTGCCCATGTGTGTCATCATGATGTTTGTGACTGCTAGAGACAGGAATAATACAGAGTCAAATACAGACACTTGTTGTAAGGGTATTCCCACATAAATTTCTTTACTATTAAAGAAGTTGGTCTGCTTTTTAGTGGTTATCTAGTGGTGTAGCATGGCCTTGGTGGCCCACATCAGCTCAGCATCCTTTGTTGTCATCTTCGTTTTCCAGGAACAGCATAAAACTAAAACACCAAATTAAATTAAATTAACTTCCAATTAAATTCATCAAATGCAGCAATGGCTGGCTACCTGCTCAGCAGTCAGAAGCTTCAAGTTCTGTATGGTTGAATTAATATTGTTATATGACTATTGAAGAAAATGCTATAAAGTTAATAAGATACTGGCACAGTGCTCAGTTTGATTAACAGGATTTCTTCATATTGTTGTTTGTGACTGAAGAGTTTGTCAGTATGCTCCTGCTTGTTTCTGTTTCTCATTGTTTTACTGTAAAATAAAAATCCATGCCAAAAGCACTGTCCAGCATATGCTAGGCTTGAAACCAAGTGGGAATTTTGAGGGCATCTGGTCCGTTGTTTCTTTTGGATGAGTTGTAGTAGTTATACTGATTTCATCCAGCACATTACAGAGTAGTTTGCTTTTCCCTGCATTTTACATTTTACTAAGTGAGAACCTTTTCACGTATTATTTTCTTTTAAGTATTTAACAATAATTGAAATAATTGTTTTCATACAACTTCAAAATGAGGTGTTAACAAGAAACCAGAATTTGATTTCATGGACACAGGTTCTATTCAAGGTTATATGATGGCTCTGCAGATTATCCTGTAATACCAATTGATTAAACATATTCTTTTTCTGCTTTCTGCAGCTGACTTGGCTCACTTAATGGACAGAACCTATGAAAGAAAGCTGCCTGTCAGTTCTTTGACAATAGCCCGGGTAAGAAAATAAATCCCAATCATAAAGTGATAGAAATGAAAGTGGAATGCTTGTGTAATCAAGTGAGCTGAGAAGGGACAAATGATATCAACTCAGTTGGGAGTTCTGGGATCATAAATGTCTTGCTATACTGTTAGATTGCTATATAAAGCTGTTTTATTGTTACTTTGTACTGATGAGTTAGTACCTGGACTGTAAGGTCTTCAGAATATTTTTTTTTCCTGTAAAACCAGGCCTCACTATTAGTGGGTTGTGTTTTTCCCTAATATATATTCCCTGCCTTCTTGTGGTTTCTGTCTTTCTGAGAGCTTTAACGCCTCCTCAGGCACTGGATAAGAGTCTAGGCTGCTAAGGGAATGCAATGAATTAACACTCTGCACTGTCTGTCTTCCTCTACTTATAGACTTCTTTCAGTGAGGCAGAGGTGGACATATTTTGCTTCTGTAGTTTTCTTTCCTTGCAGCAGACTGACGCAGAACAAATGCTGACATGGATTAAGCAAAGCCATTATTTTTACTTGAATTAGTAACCACTTCCATGCTCTGCATGGGTTAAAGAGGGGGAGTGAAAGCAAAGATGTGAGATGTGTTTTGAACTGTGTAGGAGAGTGTTTGTACTGAAGAGAGAGAATAAATATGTCACTTGTTTAAAAAAAGGAAAACAAATAAATTTCAATCTTCAAAACTACCCCAAATTACACCCTTGTACATCAGTAATATCATTAATTAGGATCATATGCACCACTGGCTGAGGAGTCACAGAACCATTTGTTCAGTTAGAAGAGCAAGCATTTTTACAGATCAAGCGTTCTTGATCATTGCTTCTGAGACAGGGTCCATGAGGTAAATGAGTTGTTCCTCTCCTTTTTATTAATTAGCTTTATTCCTTTCCTGCATTCTCCTGCTTTGGGGTGACCTTCCTGGAGAAATGGCGTTTTCAGATTGTCAAACAGTCCCAGTTTCCAATACTGGAGCTCACAGCAGATATTTATTTTCTAAAAGGTAGATAAAGGACCCAGGCATGCTATTGCCACAGTCAAAAGATGAGACCTATATATGTATAGCATGCAAGAAGAATTAAGAAATGGGAGATCAAGTACCAGTCATATTTTTTCAAAGAGAATTAAGGTATGTCAAGGCTCACTCAAAACTGTAGCAAAAAAAACTAAGGACCTGAATGTATTCTTAAAATAAAGGATGCGATTAAGAGAAAAAAATTCAGAAGAACACCAAAAACACAGGGTACTGAACTCTAGAGACTTAATCCTCAGATGGCCTGCAAGGTGCATAAAATTTCTCAGAGGTGAGGAAGGGAGTTGTCTCAGTTTATAAAGATTTGACTTCTAGCAGTCTAGAAGAAACCAGAGTTAGGAGCAAGCAAAGATGTGAAGAATTCAAGTACTGTCAGACAACTAAATATGCTGACAAATGTGTTTTGTTATTGCATTTTCTTCTAATGTGCTTTGTGAGTGCTCCCTCCTGAAACTTTTGTTTCTTATGTTTTAATCAGTTTGTTGACAACATTTCTTCACGAGAAGAAGTGGATCAAGCTGAATACTACCTTTACAAGTAAGCATCTTTTCTCCCCAGCACAAACTTTGAGTCATACAAGTAAATACCATGAAGTCTTGTCCTTTGAAGAAGACTGACCCTTTCCAGCTTACCGGCTTTGATTTCTCTCTAGCAAAGTATGCTCATCTACTTGCCTTCCATCTCACACCTAGGGGCTTTCTTGGTAACTTCCCTGTTGTTATGGCTGTCCTCCTCTGGACCTCTGGTATTAATTCCTGTCAAGCATGTTAGTCTGACCTACTGAACAGCCAACACAACTTCCAGCTGTGATTTACATTAGAAATTATAAGAGTTATGTTTGTTCACAGCTTCTGATACTTTTTTTATTACTAAGTCATTATTTATCTAAATTTGCTATATGCATATTTGTGTGTATGTGTATAGGACTCAGTGAAGCTTCTTTCCTTGAAACAAGCAAAAATGAGAATGGACATCCTGTGGTAATGATCAGGTCAAGGTTGAATGAACTGTAGTTTTTAATCCCCTTACTACTTTGATGTTTCCCAGATATGCATGGGTTGTTAGGGGTTTCTGCAACTCTTCTTGTGTTAAGTGTACAGGGTACCTTTTCTGCTAGTGTCAGGTTAAATGCTTGCTTGCTTGAAGTCAATACCTCTCAATATTGACTTTAGGAGGGCAGAAATTTTTTCTGATTACTAAAACTAAATTATTTCCTTTATGGATGGTTGCACATTGAAAACTAAGTCTTCCAATGGAGAAAGTTACTCATGCTGTCAAAATGTGTGAGAAAGCATCCTTATAAATAATGTCAGGTTGTTATTTGTAAGTAACAATGATTTTTATTTTAGTTAAGGTGTTTGCTGGATGGCTATTTTAATTAAATGCATAGTTTTAAATACATGATTGCATTAGAATTCAGATCTCCATGATTTGCTGGTACTAATGGGTCAGTATCTGAACCTCAGAGTTTCAAGGTGGAAACAAAAGAAACTAGTTTGCTAATAGTAGCAGTATTCTATAGTGAAAAAATAAAAGTAGGAAGAAGAATCTCTCACAGAGGGGAAGTTACTGGAGCTTTCACTCTTTTTGATCAAGATTTCCTTAGTCCTGTCAGAATCTGTAGTCAGAAATGAATTTTCCATGCTGCAACAGCAGAAATGAAAACAGAACAAGATAAAACCAGTTTAATGCAAGCCCTCTGGTACCTTTTAGTAACATTCTTGAAGATTGAAATGTATTTTGTGCCACACGTACTTAAATCCTCTCTGATTGATTCGAGACCTCTATGATCAGGGATCCCAAGAGACCTTTGATTTCCCTGACATGCAGAGGAAAGTGTGGTAGTTTAATTACTAAGTCTCAAAATGGTACAGGTAAAATCCAGATAGTGAGGCATCCATATATAATGTATCTTTCAGCTTCTTTCTTCTAACATATTCATTCTTTTTGAAAAAAGTTCAAGGAGAGTGACAAAAAAATAGAAGCACAGAAAATGATCCATAGTAAGAGGTAGAGAATGATATGGGAATCTCATAGTATGTGAATATCCTTTGCACTGTTCATCTGTGCCTGGCTAATACATCAGTTTAAAATACAAGGTTTCTATCTTAAGAACACATTCTTGTGTAGAGAGTTACAGTTCAAAAATAATTACAGTTTTTTACCGTTTCCCTAAGAAATAATTCTCCCATGGCTGGTGAGAGTATAGTTATGTGCACATCTAATATGGTCATTTGTATCTCTGGGGAGAAAATAGAGAAGTACTGATGTGTCACATGGCTTGTCAGACATGCTTTAGCTAGAATTTTTCTTTGTGTCTCTGCAGTGCTGCTTTGTTTTGGTGTTGCAAAATGATTATTCTTTTGGTGATGTTAGCAACATTTTTCAAGGAGACTTCATTCCAGCATTGATCCATGAAACTGTTCTCAAAAATGCACATATAGACAGGTAGTGAAACAGCATAGAGAGGTCTGTAATTCAAAGTAAAATGGGAAAATCCTCATTATAACCGCAACTTTTCTTTCAAATGAGTTAGTGTTCTAGCTTCAGGATATGCGGTTGGTATTTGCAATACCCCTTTAATTGGTCTTTGCACTTAGAATGGAGTTCAAATGAAGGACATGTTTATAAAGATAGGTCTTTGCAACTGGGAGCATGTTTGACACAAAAAAGTCCTGAAAAAGTGGCCACACCAGGAGACATAAATGAAGGGGGTAGAGAGGGGGAGTTAAGGAGCAGAGAAGCTTTGACAAGTAATTTCTTTTTGTGCCTTCATGAGAAACAGTTCCAGCCACAATTTTTGTGCATTATGGAAGGACAATAAGCTTTTAAAAAGGAGAAAGGCAGTGTAAAATAAAGACTGTTTTTGTGTCTTCTGAGGTATACAAATCCATTGCAAACAAATGTCAGGTACATGGTCTGGTAAGTTGACAGTATGTGCATTTTCCTGAACATAAATAAGAGAGTGCTCCCTGTGTTTTTCCCCTTATCTGCTTGTAGAGTATAAAGAAGGGATTTTGGTATCTCTCCCCAATGTTTGGTGCCTCTGGCAACCTGAGGTGAAGGGTAGTCAGTTCAAAGGCCCCTACAAGGTTGGAAGATGCTCCTGGTACAAAAGGCAAAATCCCTGTGGGAAGAATCAGGGGAAAGTAGTGGCATTTCCATGCTTGCTATCTGGTGGTTTTCTGAAGATGGGAGTGACAGAACTTGTAATCATTAGCTCTGTGGACTGGAGAGTTTCCTTCTATTATGTCAGACAGAACTTGGTTTCAAAAAGTAGTATTCTGGAGCATTACCATATTGCATTTAGGGTTCTGAAATACAATATGCGTATTATATTTAGACGTGTTTCAATTTTCTATCCTTTTAAAGCAGTGGATCTCCAGCCATACTGTCTCCACAGAGGATCTTGAGCTCTCAAGAATAGCTATGTGGAAACTGCTATGCCACATTGTGAAACATGTCAGTAAGATGGTAAAGGCCAGTTTGAGGCATGACGTCATCTGCTTTCAGTGCTCCTCTTTTTGTTCTTTTCTGAATACCTCCCCCCTCTTGTTAACGGTCAGACTTAAAAAAATCCTTTCATCTCCTAGGATCCCTGCAAAAATTCTAATCAGAATGCAGAGCCCTTTCAGCCAGATCAAAGATCTGCAGTTCGCCTTACTTTGTCCTGTCTCACTGAGATGTCACTATTTCACACATCAGGGTGTTTTTCATATGATGGAAACATTAGCATAATGGAAGGAGGTTTTGTGGTGAGGTAACTACTGATTCTGTATGTGGATTTTATGCCAACAAAGATTTTCAATGGGTGTGAAAGCAATTGGTGAGGTTTTATGTTGAGATTCCTCATGAGAGTTTTTAATTGCGTTAAACCCATGACCCACTCTAGAAAAAAGTATACACACTATCTGCAGAATGTGTTTGTGTGTGCATATGCTCTGCAAATTCTTGCCCAATCTACCCAGATCTTTTTATTACCTTTCTGTGATTGATAATTGCTTTTTTGAAAGTGGAGTTTTTTCTACAGGCTTGGAAATTTATTAGCTGGACTCCATACTTGATTATAATCACAAAATGTGACAATGGCAGACTATTAGAAGTTATTCTTAGATATAAAATATATATTTAGATGTATTGTTTAGGTTGTATGGTAGAAGTTACAACTTTGAAGCCTGATTTCAGCCTTTAAATCATTTTAGGAGTAAGATTGTGTCTATATGTATGAAATTGTGCTTATTCATTAAAATATCAGTGTATCAGTAGTTATTACAATACTACATGACATGCAAAATAAGTTTCACCTGCACTGTCTATGTTTGCATGTCTGTTCTGTGGGTGCAGAAGTTGCAGTTTCTGATACTTTCATGCCAGTCAATCAGTTCAGTGTCTGAAAATGTTATTCCTGTAAAGTATTGTTTATAATAAATTATCGTAATGGACCAAAAAAAATGTATTTCTGAATTACACTTTACGTAACATTCATTCCCTCTAGTATGCTAGTTTCTGTATATAAATCTTAATACCATTAACCTGTGTTCCAGCACAAATATAAAAAGGAGAAGAGACACAGACACAGTCCTGTAACATATTTGATTCTTCCTTTGAGGTGTTTTCGTTGTCCTAAAGCTGTAGCCAAAACAGACTTTGTTAGTTGATCAGGTCTTGGTTTTAAGTCCCTCCACAGAAAAACGTGTGTTAAAAAGAAGTATAAAAATAAATGAGTCAGAAATAACTGTGTACTATTTAAGTTATGCAGCAGTTATATTTTGAAATGATATTGAGAAGCAGTGGAAGAGAAGAATACACTTCTACAGGCAGAATAATGTGTTTTACCAGTTTGGACACCTGCCTCAGCTGAGCAATCTAAAATAAGTCCATTTGCAAAAGATTTGGGCTGCTCTTTGGCAGTTTGGGAGACAGAAGGAAGGGAAGCATCAGAGAGATTCACCTCATTAGAATGTTTACTCATTTTCATGTGAATGGCAGAAATACCAGTGTTTAGTGCTGTTTCGCTATGGTTGCCAGTGCGTGATGCTGCTTTTTGTGAAGAAATATTGGTCACTATCCAAGCCAGTGCTGTCAGATGTAAGTGTTCTGGTTGTAGAGACTGCCACTTTTCTGGCTCCAGCATTCACTCATTTCTGCACAGAGGGGCCCATGTTCTTACTCTTCCTGTCATCTTTCGCAGTTTCTTTGTTGTCATCTCTCAGTGGTTTTTGACAGCATGAACTGTAGAATCTGTGGAAAAAGCAACTAGTAACTATATTTCAGAACCTGGAGCCAAATTTTAGCAAGCCTTATCCTGTAACCACATCTAATTCAAGTGGGTGCGCTCAGAGTAACCATGCTGTTCAGCGCAGGAGAACTGTCAGTAAAGGTACGACACTGGAAAGCATTCAGAAGTATTGCTTCCTGTAATACATGTCTTTTCAGTCATCTGCTTTTTGTAGTTCATCTGTCCTTTTAAGCTTGGCAGAAACTGGACAAGAATATTCTAGGCCTGCATATAAAAGCACAACAAGTTGGAAGACTTT